GTGTCTGGCTTCCCTCATGCAGCAGGTTTTTGCGATTCATCCATGCTATTGTGTTCATCAGGGGTTCATTCCTTTTTACTGCTGTTTAGTTTAAATGTATCACAGTCTGTTTATTCACTGTCCTGTGAACGGGCACCTAGAATGTTTCCAGTTCAGCATGATTATAAAATCTATTACTATAAACATCTTTATATGGACATATAGTTCTCTTGGGTAAATACCTAGGAATATAATATCTGGATGATAAGATAGGTATGTGTTTACTTTCATAAGAAACTAAGCGACTCTTTCCAAAAGTGCTTGTATCATTTTATATTCCCATCAACAATGTATGAAATTTCTGGCAGCTTCACACTCTCACCAACATGGGGCATTATCAGTCTTTTTAATTTTAGCCTGTCTGGGGAGTGTGTAATGGTATTTCATTGTGGTTTTAACCTTCAGTTCCTTGATGACTAATGGGCTGAACATTTTTTCCTGTGTTTATTATACACTGATATATCATTTTTATGGAGTATCTGTTTCCATGTTTTACCTATTTGTGGGGCTGGAATTCTTTGTATATCTTAGATACTTTGATGTTTTGCAAATGTTTTCTCCCAGTCAGTGGTTTGTCTGTTCATGTGTTAATGGTCTCCTAAAAATATATTTCTAAAAATTGTATTCTTATCAGGAAATGGGAAAAAATTATTTTATTTGAGATTCAGTGGGTACATGTGAAGGTTTGTTACTTGGGTATATTGTGTGGTGTTGAGATCTGGGCTTCAAATGAACTTGCCACCCAAATAGTGAATATAGCATCCAATAGATAGTTTCTTAACAGTTGTCTCCCTCCTTCCATCCCCACTTTTGGAGATCCCAGTGTCTGTTATGCCCATTTTAATGTCCATGTGTACCCAATGTATAGCTTCTACTTAAAGTGAGAACATGTGATATTTGGTTTTCTGTTCTTGTGTTAATTCACTTAGGATAATGGCCTCCACCTGCATCCATGTTGCTGCAAAGGACATTATTTTGTTCTTTTTTTATGGCTGTGTAGTATTCCATGTACTATGTATATGTACCATATTTTCTTTTATCCAGTGCACTGTTGATGGGCACCTAGGTTGATTCTATGTCTTTACTATTGTGCATAGTGCTACGATAAACATGAGAGTACAGCTGTCTTTTTGGTAGAATGATTCATTTTCCTTTGGGTATATACCCAGTAATGGGATTGCTGGGTCAAATGGTAATTTTATTTTTAGTTCTTTGAGAGATCTCCAACATGCCTTCCACAGGGGCTGAACTAATTTACACTCCCACCAATAGCATATGAGCATTGCCTATTCTGTACAACCTCGCTAGCATCTGTTATTTTTTGCCTTTTTAATAATAGCCATTCTCACTGGCGTGAGTTGGTATCTCATTATGGTTTTGATTTGCATTTTTCTAATGAACAGTGATGTTGAGCATATTTTCATGTTGGCTGCTTGTATGTCTTCTTTTGAGAAGTTCCTGTTTATGTCCTTTGCCCACTTAATACCATTCTTCTTTTGATATTCTGACGTATTTTAGGAACAAAGAAATGAGCATGTTCCTTTATCGTTTTGTTCTGATAATAGGATTAAATGTGATTGAAGCTTTTAATGCATAACCCTTTATTTTTGGTTGTGCACTATTCTGAAAAAATGTCTTAATTCATATCTGCTTGTCAAAGTTTAGTGGAATAGAAACAATAAATCAATAGAAGTACAACAAGATGTGCTTTTGGCATTTATTCCATTGCTTAAGCATTTTATTTTAGCTTAATGGGGAAGATAAAAGCCTCCAATTTTTTTGTATTTGTTTCAGATAGCAATAAGATCTTTTTAGGGTACTATCAAATATTAAGACTTCCATTAAAATTTCTCAACAAGCAGTTAATGCATTCAAAGATATTCTCAGGTCGTCTAATGGATTGATACATAAAATAATGTGTGCATTTTCTGAGTTATTGTTCTAAGCTTATAGATGTTTACAGAATTACTAATACTAATTTATAGGCAGTCGAATTTACTTTTTTCTTTAAGGGATAAATGTCTTGGACTATAATCATAAGCACTGATTCATACTTTCTTATTTATGCAAAGTAAGGAATAATGAACATTTAATCTAGTTGGCCAGTAGATTTTTTCCTAAGATTAAGTCATTTAGATTATTTTCAAGCCAGATAATTGGTTTTACCTATTGCGGTTCTTGCAAATTTGTTTCTAGATAATATTAGTGATACGTAAGCAAGTAGTGTCATTTTAGGTGTGGTATTGTTATTGGGAAGGTTGAGTTTAATTGTTACACTTGAACTGAGAACTAACAAAAACGTAATAGATTATGTTGGGTTTGGTTATTTGTGAGAAAACTTAAGATAGAAGTCAATTTCTTCCTCATGGCAAAATGTTTAGAGGTAGCTGGACAGTGGCAGCTGCACAGTGATCCAGAATCTAAGCCCCTGTCTTGTTGCTCTGTCATTTTTTTAAATGAGATTTAGTCTCGCTGTGTTACCTAGGCTGACTTGAACTCCTAAGCTCCAGTGAGCCTTCTGGCCTCAGCTTCCAGAGAAGCTGGGATTATAGGTTTGTGCCACTGCACCCTGCTTCTGTCATTTTTAACCTTTCACTTCTTGATCCTTCTTGGAAGGGAGAAGGGACAAAGAAGAGAAGGAGAGAGAGGTTGTATATCATTTGTCTTTTAAAAAGATTTCTGGGAAGCTACAGTATAACTTGTTTATGTGCTATTTGCCAGAACTTAGTTTATATCTATACCTAAGTGCCAAGCAAGCTGGCAATTATAGTTTTTGTTTTTTTTTTTTACCCCTGGCTGTCATGTACCCATTTGAATAAAAATTGGGGAAGAAAGCAAGAACAAATATTTGGATAGCAGTGGATAGCCTATTCCATAGTAAGTAAAGCAGCATACAGAAAGTTAGGAACCCTCTAATTGACTACCATACCACTTGCCCGCTGACCGTTATTTGGTCCTGGGCTCTTTCAGGAAGCTGATAAAAGTTAGAGACCCTATCCTAAGAAAAGTGCACCTGTGTGTACATATGCATGGAGTTCTGTGGGATTGTTGTCTTTGGAGCCCATCCATGAACCATTGCCTAAGAGGTTGTGTACGGACCCACTATTAAGATTTCCTGTTATAGGCTGGGTACTATGGCTCATGCCTGCAATTCCAGCACTTTGGGAGGCCTAGATGGGAGGATCACTTGCATCGAGGAATTCGACACTAGCCTGGGCAGCATAGTGAGACCCTCCCTCTACAAAAAAATTAGCTGGCTGTGGTGGCATGTGCCTGTAGTCCAAGCTCCTTGGGAGACTGAAGTGGAAGGATTGCTTGAGCCTGGAAGATTGAGGCTGCAGCGAGCTTGTGACTCTGAGTGACAGAGTAAAACTCTGTCTGGAAAAAAAAAAAAAAGATTACCTGTGATAGTGTTTCACTGCAAGACAGTTATTTATGTATTTTTACATGGCTTTTAAAAGTTTTGTTATTCACTCACACAGTCAAAGTTTGCTCTGTTTTTAGTCACTATGATGGAACTTGAAGATTCAAAGAACCATAGTATTCTATTAAGTGCTTACTGTGTGCCTGGCATGGAATTGGAACCTTAAGTACATTATTCATTTCTTACATTTTACAAATGAGGAAATAATCTGCCTAAGATTTTACAGCTAGTGAATGATAGAGCTAGTATTTGAACTCAGGTCCTGTTAGTTATCATGAAATAGACACTTAACCATAAGCATGAGACACGCTGGGCAGAGGATGTTTTGGTGGTTCAGTTTCACTTGCCAGTCATTTAGGCACGTGCCTGTGTAACTAGGAATCTCTTTTTGCCTCAGTTTTCTGTTAATACTCCGAAAAGGCACTTAAAATGTTTAAGTATGTGATGATGCTACTTTTCTGATTTTGTATTTTTTCATTGCAATCAGTATGATACATGGCATATGATAAATGTCAACTGGTAATCTAAGAGTAATACAAAATGATCATATTTGAAATGTCTTATCAGCATTCAAACTGTATATATCATTTAAAAATTCTATGGAAACCACCTTTTGATCACCTTGTAAAGCAGAACTCACTGGTACTGTGTTTGTGTTCTTTTTTCTCACAAGCATGCTGTTATGTATGCTGACAGCATCACACATGGAATTTAGCATAAAAGCTTTTTGCTTCAAGCTGAGGTTTTTGACCCCACTGATAATACAGATGTTCTCATAATTTCCTCTCTTCAGCCCCTTTATAAATCAAAAAAAGTAGAAAAGGGAAAAATTACATGAGTAATTACAGTATTAGATTACTATAGAAAACCATTTCAGTTCTTTAAAATTCTCTTTTCTTTTTTCTTTTTTTTTTTTTTTTTTTTTTGAGACGGAGTTTCGCTCTTGTTACCCAGGCTGGAGTGCAATGGCGCAATCTCGGCTTCGGCTCACCGCAACCTCCGCCCCCTGGGTTCAGGCAATTCTCCTGCCTCAGCCTCCTGAGTAGCTGGGATTACAGGCACGCGCCACCATGCCCAGCTAATTTTTTGTAATTTTTAGTAGAGACGGGGTTTCACCATGTTGACCAGGATGGTCTCGATCTCTTGACCTCGTGATCCACCCGCCTCGGCCTCCCAAAGTGCTGGGATTACAGGCTTGAGCCACCGCGCCCGGCCTAAAATTCTCTTTTCAACTTTAGTTTCAAATCACCAGCTTCTTAAAATTGCAACTTTCTTATATTGACAGGCTCTAAATTATGAATGTACCATTTATTTATCAGTTGACACCTCTGCCTCTTGTTTGATTAGAAACATTTTCTTTTCTAGTGAGAGTACTGCTGATTCTAATTGTAGAGATTAGATTTGACTTCAGGTTGCATAACAAGCAAAACAACTAAGTGATAGGCTTGCTGCTGCTTTCTTATCTATGTACATAAACTATCATAAGCCAGTGTTTGGTCATTCCTTCCTTAAAGTGTTGATTCTTATTTAATTGTAGGGCGATTTGATGAAACTGTTATTGAAGAGAGAAGACAGTGTGCTGAAGACCTGCTACAGTTCTCTGCCAATATTCCTGCTCTTTACAATAGTAAACAGCTTGAAGATTTCTTCAAGGTTTGGTACTTTTGTAATTTGTAGTAAAGTAATATAGAAAATGTCATTTACTTTTGAATTTTGTTATTTACTTTAAAAATAGAAATTTATTAATTTAATAAATAATAATAATTATATTTATTATAATTATTTATATAATAATGTTTATGGCATAGCTCCTGTTTTTAATGTAGAAATGTATGCTTTTTTGTTTTTTTTGGAACTGGTTCTGCTGTGTTGCTTAGGCTGTTGTTCAGTGGTCATTGACAGGTGTAATCATGGCGTACTACAGCCTTGACTTCCTGGCTTCAAGCCTCCTCTTGCCTCACATTCCTGAGTGTTTTTGATTCATAGATCTTTAAAAATTGATGTGAAGAGCTTAGAGATTATTTAACTCTCTCTGTCATAATTGAAATACATTAAAAAAGTTAAGTATCAAGAAACTCCAGTACTTGCCTTTACTTTTTGAGGTGTCTGTTTCAGTGGCAGATTCCTCTCGGAATATAAGCCATTGTAAGTCTATATTAAATTTGTTATAATTATATTGACTTGTTTGTAAAGATATATAACACTGCACAGCTTAAGAGAGCAGGCCAGTGCAAATTATATTACTGGAGATCATTGGGTATTAGTGTTTTAAGTTTGTAGACATGTAATGCTTTCATTTTAAGTTTTTTTTACCATTTTAAATAATAATTTTCTAATTTATTTTGAACTGAATCTGTACATGTTGACAGTTGATATCATTGTATTTAATCATCACCTTTTTCCTGTTGCATTGAATTAGCCTTCTAAAAACAAGAAACCTAAGTTATTGTGCCATAATTGTTTTTGCTTCTTTAACTAAAATCTACTCACTTGTGTAAGTTAAATTTCTTAGACTATATAACCAGTGATATATATGCATAGTGGGATATTTGGTTCTTCTGATCCTACTGGATCTACACACAGTTATTTTATGTATTTTTTCTGCCAGCGCTTTGTCATCCAGGAATTTATTTTTTATGATCTATTTTATCTACTGAAGAAAGTTCTGTTGAAAGACATTGTAATAGAAATAAAGTGATAGAAGAATTTGTAGTAACAATAACATTCCTGATGATCGACCATGTTGCTTAATTTTTCACCATTCTGCAAATTAGACTGAGATAATAAATTTGGTTTCTGCATATGGCCCAATGCAGATCTTTAGGATAAAGGCCAAGTTAAAATGATAGACTATTTAGCTCTTTGCTGTGCTTTGTTATAATTGTTTCTATGTGTCAAGGAGTCTGTTTTTTATGGAAAAATACATTATTATTAAACAAGAATATTGTTTTATGGAAATTGTGAAAAGCTGTCATGCAAATTACCACATGCCATACAGCTAAAAAAAAAATTAGGGATTATGGAAGTCAGATTGAAGACTTTAAACAGTTTAAGTAAAAGTTACTTGTTTATTATATTTCTTCCTGATTGTAACTGTTGCTGGAAGTCACTGGGAAACAAGACTGTCATGTTCAGGGTTTTTGAAAGATTGGACAGTTTAAGAGAAGTCAAGCTAATCTTGGAAAGTATCTTAGAACTATCTTCAACAGTGTACTAGGCAGGAGCAGGATACGATTTGGGAATATCACAACAGTGGCCTTCAGTCATTTTAAATAAGAGAAACCAAGCAGGAAAAAGAAACTTGTTACATTAACTTGAACAACAACAACAAAAAAAGGCTTAAGGCCAAAAGGCCAAAAGAAATATGTCAGTTTTTAAAAGCTTTCCTAGAAACATGATCTAGAGATAGTCCTTCTTACATCTCATTGGCCAGAACTGGGTCACATGCCCATCCTTAATTTGAAGGAGTCTGGGAAGGTGACTCTTAGCTTTCTAGTTCTGATCATGGATGAAGGTGGTGGGGTGGGAAGATTTTGGCGTAGCTAATTCACAGGGTGTGCTATAGTATCATAGTTTATTTTTCTCTTTAGAAACATTAATGCTGCCACATGCAAGTGACTATGTAGCCACTTGCTTACATTGACTTTAAAAAAACACATACCTAAGAGTAGAAGGAATAGTATTATGAACCTCTATGACCCATTGCTTGGTTTCAGAAGTTATTGGTATGTTGCCAAACTTGTTTTATCTACATCTTTCCATCTCATACTCTACTGAGTGGTTGGTTGTTCATTAGTATTGGTACAGTTATTAATTGTAAGTATACAATTCACTGATTTTCAGTAAATTTATAGAGTTTTGCACCTATCACCAACATCCAATTTTACTTTATTTTTTTTTCTGAGATGGAGTTTTGCTCTGTTGTCCAGGCTGGAGTGCAGTGGTGTGATCTTGGCTCACTGCAACCTCTTGTCTCTCGGGTTCAGTGATTCTCTTGCCTTTGCCTCCTGAGTAGCTGGGAATACAGGTGTGTGCCAGCATACCTAGCACTTTTTGTAGTTTTAGTAGAGACAGGGTTTCACAGTGTTGGCCAGTCTGGTCTTGAATTCCTGACCTCAAGTGATCCACCTGCCTCAGCTTCCCAAAATTCTGGGATTACAGGTGTGAGCCACTGTGCCCAGCCAACATTCAATTTTAGATCATTTCCATTACCTCACTGCTGTGTAAGCTCCCTATGGTGATCCCCTTTTCCATCCCTACCCTGGGGCAACCACCTGGTTCTGTCTGTAGATTTGCCTTTCCTCCCCATTTTAAATACATGGAACTACATAATATATGTAGTGTTTTGTTCACAATATATGTATGTAGTTTTCTTATACTTAGCATAATGTTTTTGAGCTTCAGTCATGTTATATTATATATCAGTATTTCATTCCTTTGTATAGCTGAAATGTATTTCATTATATAGATGATACCACATTTTTTTCAATAGTTGATAAATCGATGGACATACTTGGATGTTTCTAAGTTTTGGCTGTTATGACTAATGCTACTGTGAATATTTGCATACAAATCTTTGTGTGGATATATGTTTTCATTTCTCTTGGGTGATTCCTGAGGAGAGGAATTGCTGGGTCTTATGGTAAGTTCATGTTTTTAAGAAATTGCTAAACAGTTTTTTAAATGGACTGTACCATTTTGTATTCAGCCAGTAATGTCTGAACTTACTGGTTTTTTCACAAAATCACCAACACTTAGTATTGTCTGATTTTTTAACTATAGCTCTTCTCGAATGTATGCAGAGGTATTTCATTGTAGAATTAATTTCAGTTTCCAAATGGCTAATGATGTTGAAAGTGTTTTCCTTTGCTTTTTTTCATGTATATCTTTGGTAGAATGTCCATTAAAATCTACCCATTTTTTTGATTGGGTTGTCATTGAGTTGTAAGGGTTCTGAATATATTCTGGATAAACAATCTTATTGGATAAGTGATTTGTAAATATATTCTCCCCAATCTGTAGCCTTTTAATTTTCTTAATGGTGTCATTTGAGGTGCAAAAGCTTTTAGCTTTGATGATATATAATTTATAATATTTTTTTCTTTTTTGGGTTATACCTGTCGTACCCAGGAACTTTTCGAGTAACCCAAGATCATGAAGATTTTCTTCTGTGTTTATTTTTAGATTTCTGGAAGTTTTAATGTTACAGTTAGGTCTATGATTCTTTTTTAGTTCATTTTATATAGGGTGTGAAGTAATAGTTTAAATTCATCTTATGGTATGTGTGTATCTAATATTCTGAGCATCATTCGTTGAAAAGATTATCCTTATTGAATCACCTTGGCATACTTGCTGAAAATAAGTTGACTGTAAATATGATGACTTATTTCTGGACTGTTGATGTGTTCTATTAATCTGTGTGCCTGTTCTTATGCCAGTACCATACTGTCTTGATTACTGTAGCTTTTTAAGTACTGAAGTCAGCTAGTGTAAGTTTGCTTACTCCACTTTTTCAAAATTGTTATGGCAATTTTGAGTTCTTTCAACTTTTCAACTTCCATAAAAATTTTTAGCATCAGTTTATCTATGTGAACAAAAAATTCTCATAGAATTTTAAAATTATTTTATTTATTTATTTAAAGAATTGGGGTCTCGCTTTTGTCACCCAAGCAGGGATGCAGTAGTACAATTATAGCTCACTTTAACCTCAAACTCTTGGGCTCAAGGGATTCTCCTGCCTTAGCCTCCCAAGTAGCTGGGACATGCACCACCACACCCAGAGAGACAGGGTCTCACTGGTTTCTCAGGCTGGTCTTGAACTCCTGGCCTCAATTAATTCTCTTGCCTCAGTCTCCCAAAGTGCTGGGATTACAGGTGTGAGTCACCACACCTGGCCAAAGGTATTGGAAACACCTGCTAAAATCCTCCAGTTTGATTCTCTCCCAGCTGAGCTGTTTTGGCTTCCTCCTCAGATTTCTGATTGGAATTGTATTGACTCTGTAGTTCAGTTTGGGGAAAATTGTCATTTTAACAATATTATCTTGCAATCCATGAAAATGAAATGACTACATTTATTCAGATATTCTCTAAATTCTTTAAGCAATGTTTTGTAGTTTTCAGGGTATAAGTCTGGGGCTTCTTGCCTTAAATTTAGTTGTAAGCATTTTAATCTTATGCTATTTTGAATGAAACTGTGTTTTCTTTTCACATAGTATTATGCTTCAAGGGTTTATTCCTGTTGTGGCATACATCAGTGCTTTATTCCTTTTTCTGATTGTATAATATTCCTGTGTATGGGCTATGGATATACCACATTTTGTTTAGCTACAGTGTGTGTTGGTACATACTTGGGTTGTTCTCCTTTTGGCTGTTAGGAATGGTGCTGTTATGAATATCGACATACACGTTTTTGTGCAGACATGTATTTTTGTTTTCTTAGATACATATCTAGGAGTGGAATTTAGGTGGGAAGTTTTTTTTAATTAGATTTAGAGGATATGTATGTGTATACATATATTTATGTTTTCAAGGTTCATCCAGGTTGTAGCATGTATCAGTAGTTTATTTCTTATTGTGACTAAATAATATTTCATGGAATGGGTATGAATATACCACATTTTACTAGTCTCTTCATTGGTTGATAGTCATTCAAATTGTCGTTGCTTATGGCTGTTACGAAAAATGCTTCATTTGATCCTTTTTTAATAATTTAGATTTATTTATATATGCTGTTTCATGAGTCATAGTCCTATTAACTCTTTAATCATGTTTTCCTTTGATAATTTGAACATACTTATAATAGCTGCTTTGAAGTTTTTGCCAAGTCCAACATCTTTGTCCCCTCACAGATAGTTCCAATTGACTGGTTACCCCCATGTTTGGGTCACATGCTTTTCTGTGCCTTTGCATGTCTTTTAATTTTTTTTATTGGTTGGAAATTGAACATTATGGATAATATACTATAGAACTCTAGGTTCTGATTTTTTTTTTCTCCCTGTGGGTTCTTGCCATTTTACGTTAGTTTGTTTAGTAACTAACATTTTCTGTTAGTGTATTTAGTCTGTAGTCAATCTGTGGAGTCCGTTTCCTGTTAAGTGTGTGACTGCTGATATCCATGCCCTATATTTAATTTTAATTTTATTTTTAAGGCAGGCTCTGTAGAGGTTAGCCCTGTGTCAGCATAGCTTTGTGGTCAGCCAGTCTTCGGTCATTGCTTGTGCTTAAACACCTGTGCCATTCATTATATGCTTTTCTTTTAATGCTGGTGATTTTTAAATGTGTTCTCAAAGTCTCAGCTGTTTTAAAATTTGCCCTGGCTTTTACTTTCCTCTGAAGTCTTGAATTTCCTCTATGTCTGTGCACTGTCTCATGGTTTGCAAGGTATTGGTGGATAGCTTGACCCCTCTCTGTTCTCTATTACATGGATGGGTAGTGAGCTTTACTAAGACTCCCTATGGCGATATTATTTTCTGGATCTCCCTGCTGTCTGATCTTTTGCTGACTGCAGCTTCAGGTGTGCTGAGCCATCACTTTTCCTTGCCATATATTTGGCCTTGAGATTGCCATTATTATTGACAGTAATATTTGGGGTGGATTTTTTTATTTTTTTCTGTGCTTCAATCCAAATCATGTTAGCCTCCTCAAAAGTGGACCTGCTGGTTTTCAAGACTTGCCTGGCCCTTGTAGAACTACTGTGGCCACCCAGCTGGGTTGGGGGATGGAAGGAACCGAGGCAAGAACATCATGGATTTTCATAGTTCTTACCTGTGGTTCTGTGGTTTCTCAGTAACCACCGTTTCATTTGCTTTATGCTTTTAGTCAATTTCCAGAGCCCTCAGTGGTGGTTTCGACAGTTTTCTAAAGATTTATAATTGCTTTTTGGGGAAAGATTTGCTGATTTTCTCACTCCACTATATCAGAAGTCCTTCCCTGCTAGACTCTTCATTATCAAAAAACTTTGAGATACATAGTGTCTCAAAATTTCTATGAAATTTTTATACTGCATACCAGAAATACCCAAATGGTTATTTTTGAATTAGGAATTAAAAATTAGGATTGTGGCATTAGTTTACTGCTACCTCCCTCTAGTTCCTATGTAACACTTTTTGTTTCATTAAAGATTTGTTCTTTACCATTTATTTTTTATAACGGTGTTTGTTAAACTAGATACATAAAATATTTAGGATTATGAGGTAAAAGATTTTACATTTTGAATTTTATCTTACAAGATCTTATGTCAACTAATAATATACATTTATTGAGTGCTTACACTATTCTGAATACTTTGTATTTTTTATTTTGCATGAAATATGTAAAATAAAATAATGTCTTAGAAGACATTTTATAGGTAGGTAACTTAAATCACACACCTAGTGGTAGAAGAGGCAGTTAATAGTTGAAAGATACTTTCTTCTAAAATTAACTTTGTCTTTTAATATTTTCTATTATACTTGAAAATCTTGATTTGGTTTGGATGTTGTTAAAGGATGGCTTAATCGAGACTAGATATTCTTTTTGGAAAAAAATTTAAATAGAAGCTGTAATCTGAATATTGTAATAAAGGGTAGAATAAAGTATAAGAATACAAATTCTTACTCCTAAAGAGAATAATCATTTTCAAAGTTTTAGTTCACGTAACACTCAGGGAAGTAAACTTTGGTAATTTGAGAAGGACCATTTCAAATTTCATTCCTTAAAAATAAATGGACAGGGAGAGACTTCTGATTAGGTAAAGGTAGTCATTGAATTTTTTTGGGCTGAAGTAGAGAGAAAATGTGGGTTTGTAATTCCTTTGAGCTTTCTTACTCTGTTAGTAGTGTTTGGAGGCATAGAACTGTTGGTGGAAGGTAGAAAGGAAGATATTAAAGAGCAGAAGAGCTATTGTTTTAATTATTTAAGGATAATAAGCTCTTACATCTGTGATTGGAGCATTCATTTCACAAAGCCGTAGCACAACCTCATCCCACCACTACTGTCTGCTGATAACATTCTCTAGCTGCATGTAGAGTAAGATGACTTTTTGAGGCATGAATTTACAAACCTCAATAGGGAATTAAAATAATAACCACAGAGAGAAATCAATTATTTATTTATTTTTTATATTTAAAAAAATACCTCTACTAAAAGTACCTTAAATATTTTTAGTTTTACTTAAATTGTATGCAAGTGGTCCTCAAACTTTAAAAGGCTTCTCAGATCACCTGAGGTACTGTGTGGTATGTTGTAGGGTATAATTTGATAAAATTCAATGAATTCCTGATGGGCCATCATTTATCACTAATTAAAATGACCAGTCCCTAAGGATACTGAACAATATTCTTTTTTTTTTTTTTTTTTTTTTTTGAGACGGAGTTTCGCTCTTGTTACCCAGGCTGGAGTGCAATGGCGCGATCTCGGCTCACCTTAACCTTCGCCTCCTGGGTTCAAGCAATTCTCCTGCCTCAGCCTCCTGAGTAGCTAGGATTACAGGCGTGTGCCACCATGCCCAGCTAATTTTTGTATTTTTAGTAGAGACGGGGTTTCACCATGTTGACCAGGATGGTCTCGATCTCTTGACCTTGTGATCCACCCGCTTCGGCCTCCCAAAGTGCTGGGATTATAGGCATGAGCCACTGCGCCTGGCCACAGTATTCTTTAGTTCATGGTTTTTTTCTTCTGCATTTGCTTAATGGGTACTTGGGCAGAATTAAAATAATATACTTTTATAAGAAACCACATAGGATTCTAAATGTTAAGATTCCTATTGAATTTTAAAAACAATAGTCTATTTCTAGAGCAATTTAGGTTTATAGAAAAACTGCAGAAAGTATAGTTTTCTCATATATCTCTTCTTCCTCCCAACCCTGTTTCTTTCGTTAAATATCTCGGATTTGTATAGTACATTTGTTACAGTTGATGAACCAATACTGACATAGTTATCGATTTTTTTGAAAACACTTGTCATCTAGTTTAATAGATTAATATAGTTGTTTCTGTAAATCTTTATACATGCTTAGTTGAGACAACTATTTTTTATGTAGTATTGTTCATTCTCTTAATGCTAATGAATCGCAATTGCTCTTATCTTTTTAGGGTGGAATAATTAATGATAGTTCTGAATTAATTGGTCCTGCTGAAGCTCACTCAGATTCCCTCACTGATACCTTTCCTGAGTGTAGTACAGAAGGTAAGAGATTTTAATTTTTTTGCATTGCAAAGTTTTTGATTGCAGAAGTCTATAAATCATATCTGCATTGCAAAAAGACAGATGTATATAGGAATCTGAGGGTATTTCACTGATTCTAAGATACATTTTTTTCTTCACATTTTGCTATCACTGATATTGCGTGCATGATATTAGGTCCATGACATCTCACATTTCATTGGCAGCTTTTCTTTTCTTAGTGGAATACAAAATAATGATTGATCCTGCAATTAGTGGCATCTTAGAGTTGATGAAATATGGTATAATGAGCAGTTTGGAGTTTGTATTATCTAGTGTAAGCATGCCTTACTCGGCTAGGCGCGGTGGCTCACACCTGTAATCCCAGCACTTTGGGAGGCTGAGGCGGGTAGATACTTGAGGTCAGGAGTTTGAGACCAGCCTGGCTCACACACCCGTAATCCCAGCTACTGGGGAGGCTGAGGCACGAGAATCACTTGAACCTGGGGAGGCAGAGGTTGCAGTGAGCCGAGATTGCTTCACTGCACTCCAGCCTGGGTGACAGAGCGAAGCTTTGTCTCAAAAAAAGAATGCCTTACTCATTTCTTTAGTGCATCTGACTTTTAGACAATTAATTTCAAGACTGGCTTTAGGGAGTTAGTCATTTACCTGAAAGAATAAACCCTAAGGTAGTTTTAGTGTTTTTTGATACATTTTTAAATAAAATGAGTCTGAATCAAGTTTTAATCACTTTAATTCAAAAATGCTTAATTTCTTGTTTTATTCCTCTATTAAGCCACACTTGAAATTATAGGAAAATTTAAATATGTACATTTCAGCCTTTGGATTTCTGTAACTTTATTTTTCAGAGATTACAGAATTAAAGAAAGATTTGGGGGCAGAGGTAGGAAGGGCCTTTCAAAACAGATAATTAGATGTTTTAGGTGGCTTAGATTTGGTTTATTAAAGTTAAAATAGTAGACTAAATAATATTTCTTATCTTTTTCATGAGTAAGAGTTTATGGTGGAGGAGGCTGCTTTCTGAGGAAGAGGTAGCTATCATCTCACTGTAGTGCTGTTTTTGTGAGGGTATATACTGCTGTCATATAGCAACAGCCACACTGACATAAATCTATTGCAGTAAATTTCCGTTTTGATTTGGTAAGAGCAACATGTTCTTATCTATTATGAGGGCTGATGCATTTAAATTTTTTTTCTTTTGGTACTACCACATTGAGAAGTGGTTAGCTTTTATTTTTTTTCATTGTGCTTCCCATTGACTTAAGGTCCATTAATTTAAACTTAGTGTCGTGTGTAATGCAGGGGGCAACATGCCCAAGGGTCTTCATTGGGTTCTCAGTACCTTTGACTCCACTTGAATTCTGCAGGCTCATAGAAAAACATGGTTGACAGTAATTTAACTTTAATCTGTTATTTTTTTTTGCCGGGGAGGGGATGTCTGGTCTTGGTGACCTATTTTAATCAGAGATCCTTGCGAAGGTTTGGAAAATCTTGCCCCTGCTTGGGATCCCAATGTGATTCTAATTACAGAACTAGTTTCCTTGAAAGATGAATTTTCTGAGATAACCTAAGCTGACTGTTGCCTCAGTTTCCCTACTCTTGAGAAAGAGGAGTACACGTTTTCCACCTGCAATATATACTGATTCTGTGACACCCAATAGAGGACTAGTAGGAGAGTCCGAAAGATTTGTAGGAGAGGCTGGGCATGGTGGCTCATGCTTGGAATCCTAGCACTTTGGGAGGCCCAGGCGGGTGGATCACTTGAGGTGAGGAGTTTGAGACCAACCTGGCCAACGTGGTAAAACCCTGTCTCTACTAAAAATACAAAAATTAGCCAGATGAGGTGGCCAGCATCTGTAATCCTAGCTACTCTGGAGGCTGAGGCATGAGAATTGCCTGAACTAGGGGGGCAGAGATTGCAGTGAGCCAAGATTATGCCACTGCACTCCAGCCTGGGCAACAGAGTGAGACTCCGTCTCGGAAAAAAAAAAAAGAATTGTATGAAGTATTCAATGAGGAGTACGACAGTCAGAAATGCAGAATGTTTCTTTTCTCTATTTTTTTGATACAAGAATCAAAGGTTGTGGGATATGGGAGTAGTTCTATTCTTCTGATATCTTTAATAAGCTTCTGTTACTAGGTGGGACTCAGCAATGGTGAGAGAAGGGTATCTTAGGAGCCTACTTTAGTACAAGGCAGTCAAGATCTGCAGAGATCTTTCTGTTCTTTGCTATAGTCTAGGACAGAAGGGGAGCGGCATGATTATTAGGAACGAGTTTTCTTGAGATAGTATTCTGAAATATTAATGGCCATTAGAGGTGAATGGATTGCTATATTAATGCTAAAGGAGATACAACCTAAAGCTAGGGTGAGCATGTGGGTTTATTGTCCATAATGGGACACTTCTGAGAATTATAGACAGTGCTATTAATAATTATACCAAGACCACAAACATGACACAGGACAGCCCCAGGCAAACTGAGCTGTAAGGGTGACCCTTCTGAAAGCAGTTGTTTCAGAGTTTATGAACTTTCCAAAAGATGTATTTTCTTTGGAAGGATTTCTCTTTTGGGAATGTGCTTTTATGAGAGAAATTGGGGCCAACATTTCTCTTAGAAACACAGAAAAGGACTGTGACATCTGAAAGGAATATTGACATTTTATCCCGTCAGTGCAGTTTAGTTTTTCAATTACATTACCATCTCTGAAACACACTGTGATCCACAAAGAATGAAAAACGTGGAACTGGAAATGCTGTTAATGGTTATGTTGTTTTTCTCCCCTCCCTTTAAAGGTTGTATGCCTGGCAAATTAATCCTGCTGAAAGTTAGTAGGTTGATAAATACAGATAGATCAAAGTGTCAGACATCTTGTAAATTGATTGTTATTTGAGAGGGAAAATGGCTTTTAAATATCCTGAGATTGTTTGTAATAGTGGGAAAGTGGATTATTTACTTCATACCAAAAGGTCTGCAAACTCTGGAGACAACCAGGGAGAGGGACATCTAGTAGCAAAAGAGCAGGAAAGCCAGCAGCCAGTCAGGGTATGCAGTAAAATGGAGGGTTGTTAGAGGGATCGTGGTGACAAAGACTTGTGTTTTGGATTTAGAGCTAAAATGTGAGGAAGTGATTCATCCCATGAAAACTTCTCTAAATGTGCTATTTTAAACCACGTTTTAAAGGTGGATTGCCATTTTTCATATTTGTGAATTAGCTAGCTGGTGGAATGAGCTGGAGAGGGTAAATCATGATATAGAGTATGCTGTTTCAGCGTTCTTCAGTTACGGTTAGAATGACATGGCAAGTTGATCACTTCTCAGAGAACAGATGTAGAGGTGAAGTGATCATTATTTTTCTTAAAACCTTAAAAATGCAGTGAACAGATCCTCATATGAAATGAAAGTTTTCTGAGGAAAATATGAAGATCTGGATTTCTTTGTATTTTGCGATGGAGTCTCAGTCTGTTATCCACGCAGTGGCACAAACACAGCTCACTGTAGCCTTGATGTCCTGGGCTTGAGTGATTCTCCTTCCTCAGCCTCCTGAGTAGCTGGGACTATAGACAGGCACAACCATGCCTAGCTAATGTTTCTTTCTAAATTTTTTTTTGTAGAAATGGGATCTCACTTTGCTGCCTAGGCTGGTCTCGAATTCTTGGGTGCAAGTGATTCTCCTGCCTCGGCCTCCCAAAGTGCTGGCATTATAGGTGTGAGCCACTGTGCCTGGCCTGGTTTTTTAAATTACAGTTACTTTGTTCTAGCACGGGATAGAGAAACCCCTTTAAGGTTTTGTAAAAAATAATTTAGTGATAAACTGGTAAATATATTTTGTTTACTATGAAATTGAAAATTAGGAAATTAGTAGGTTTTTAGATGAAAAGTTAATATCGTTTTACATTTTAAAAATGAAATCCTGGTTACTCTTTGTCTCCTTTGTTCAAAGAAGTTAAACTATGTATTTTCAAAGATGAAAGAAGATGTAATTGGTTGCTAAAATCTTATTTACATTATGTCTATTTCAACTTACATCTTTTTCTTGAATTAAATTTAGCCATGAAGTTACTAGGACATTTTTGGAAACCTGCCCAAATTTGTGCATATCACTTGAGCTCTTGGTAGATTTCTCTCACTTCTTGGCCTTTTTGAAGGGTGTAGATTGCTTTACTGCCATGCTGGCCTTGATATCAGAGATTTGGATGTTGGGATAGTCTCATCTGGTAACCTGTGTCATTTCCTCTTCCTGATACATCACTTTTCAGTTTTGGGAGGGACTTTTTTTTTTTCTGGTTTATACAGTAAATGAGAGAAAATAATTAGGTGATTGTAACCACAAAGACAAATTAAGTGATCAGCTTATTGTATGTATATATTAGATCTTAAGAGTGAATATTCTTAAATGTCTCCTGGCAAAACAAAATCTACCCCCACCTTTTTTTGGCTGGAAAGCTTATTGGAACAGTTGTAGAGACGAAAGGGTCTATTAAACTGTCTTGAATTAGCCATTTTAAAGTAAATGAAATGTACATTTTGAGGAAAGCATGTATGAACATATATGAAAAGAACATGAGAATACCTCATCCAGATTTTGAGGCTAGCATGTTTGAGGATAGCCTGTATTGCTGTCTTTGTAGCAGATCCCTGAAATGACATTAAGCTCAAGTTTGTATGTTTATTCGATGGCAGGGTAATAATTCTTTCCCATATGTAGACTGACATGAAGATTGTGATTAAACTGTGTTAAATTGAATGGTGTTGATTATATTTAAAGGACTGGTTGGTCTAATTGGAAAGGTGTATAGTTATTTAAGTTTGAAAAAAATTTTCTGTATCAAAATACCATTTGTTTTATCTTATTTATGTTGTTTTCATTTAATAGATTTAAACTTGACGCTTTGAGACAACAGCATTTTAAATAGGAGTATTTTTTAGATGATTGGCTACTTAATAACCTAAATCTGTTTCCAAGATAAACTTAAAGTCTGTTTGCTACATAGTATAGGTGTA